GTCCGACTAACTGCGCGTTCACACTAAACTCAGATGAGCGACAGTCGTTCTACTTCTAGTACTCTAGGATAACAACGGCGGCCGACCGACCAATTGTACTAACAAATCTCTTATCCCTCAAAATGCATTCAGACTAAAGCAACGACAACGGCCGTATGTTAGTCTTGTCAGCGCAGTTACATGTAGTTGTGTAAGTGTAAGGGTTAGAAAGACTGTCGTTTGTCTGAGTATTTGGTGTGAACGTGCAGTTACCAGACCTCGGACAAGGCTTGTTTTGAAAGTAGCAGCGGAAGTACGAATATTATCGATTATTTGTATGTACCAAATAAATTGTAATAGTTACCAGGCTATCATCGGAGAATTCTGAGTGCGGGCAAAGATCACATACAACTTGGGGCGAGTCAGCTACTAAATGCGGCATCGATATTTCGGGAAATAGTGCCCCGAATTTCTACTGACAAAAAGTTCAACGGGTGCTTCCCGCGATAAAGGAGAAGGCAGAGTAAGTTTTTAGAAAAATCCGGCACAACAGCGGACTGGGACAAAAACTCGGGATACATGCGATCGAAATCGGGAAAATCAGGATGCTTGAGATTTGGGGCAAAAAATCGGGATATCCCGACTAAATCGGGATGAGTGGCAGGTCTGCAAAAGGCAAGCTTCACTGGCAGAGATTTGTCGTCAGCTCGACATTTCAAGGGTCGATTCACACCATTATCAAGGATAGAGAGAAGATAGTGGCAGCATACTCCAATAGAAGGTTTGCTCTGGATCGATTGATTGATTGATTGAGTAGATGTTTTACGGCACTATCGAAACAATTTTGGTCATTTAAGCGCCAACAGGTTTCACCGCTACAAAATCAGACGTGTTTTTAGTAAGATTCTTTCCGAGCTCGCAACCGCACATGATCACACTATTTTCATTATGCTAAAAAGACGAAAAAGCATTTATAAAAATTTTTGGTAAATATGGAAAAGGCTTATTTACATTTGTATACAATATAAATTTCAGTGTATGTATATATACACCGATAACGATAACTATATGAGCCATTGCCAAAACGTGGGGAAAAACACACACATCTCACATTAGTGTGCATAAAATGTGATGCATTAGTATTTATTGCTCCAAAACTTATACACACGTCAAATATAGAATGTAGAACCTGCATTAGCAGTTTCAGACCCCTTGTCAGCTTTACAATCTTGAGTTTGTAAATTTTGTGCCAAAAATGTTCGTTTTTTAGTGATTCCTGGAGTGTCATT